CTATCCTGAAGGAAAAGCTAAGGGTAAACTTCAGCTAGCAAGTAAGCATTTCCTTAGATTGGAAATTGATTCCTGAACAAAGAGAACATACAGAACTAATTCACATTGTTTTTCCCTAAGAAAATCAAGAAACGGCAGCCCAAGGCGCTACATTAACAATGAGCAATGGGGGAAAGAATAGTACCGGAAGCATCTGCTGGAGTCCTGTGCCTTTAACAGGGATGATAGAATATTTAAAAGTGTATCTTTTCTGATTTGTGCAAGTGCAGAAAATGCCTCTTTCACCCTATTATTAAAAATACTGGAACCTCATCTTCCTGGGCATCTAGGCAACCTGATAAGGCATACAGTTGGCTTTAATTTAAAGCAGGGGTCCCCAATCCCCAGTCTGTGGACTGGCACCAGGCCGCAGCATACCAGCAACCGGGCCACGCAAACAAGTGAAGCCCCATCCGCTGGATGCAGGCAGTACACGAAACCGCGCCCCCTCTGGTCTGCGGAAAAATCTTTCTCCACAGAGAAAGATTTGGTGCCCAAAAGGTTGGGGGCCTGTGATTTAAAGGGTTATCACTAAGAGCTAAGCAAACAGCGTTCCGTGCTGAGAAATCTAAACAACATATGCAGGGAGTGGGAGAGAACAGAAGAGAACCTCATTGGTTTCTGAACATGGAGAACACACTGAACTTATTCATACATTGTGCTAAGCCTTGATTTGTTGAATAAACTGCATGTGTGTGTCACACATTGCCCTGTATAAAACTATACCAGTGCTTTTCAAACTAGAGTGGGTACATTCATGTTGTGCTAGGACAAAACTAACTAAGCCACACTGCCCTAGCTTATTATGTACTGTTTCTCTATGTCTCACACAAAGGACAAAATGACAGGCTCACGTGATAGTTGTGAAGGCAAGCATCTGACCTGTGGAACTGCGCTCCCGTGGGCAGCTATTTCATAATCTTGCTGCTCCTCCTTCAGGTTCTCACATTCTCTATTGACTTTTTATTTATTTTTTGCCCAGGATTTCCAAAGAACACAGAAGTCCCTCTTTATTGATTCTCTGCTTCTCCCATTAAACAATTAAAGAGAAAACCTTTCCTTGAATGATTTCCATTCCGACTAGCTGTGGTAAAAATACCAACAATGCATACTTGTATTACAGCAGATTGTGAATATTGTGAATTTTATTATGTTAAGAATTTACTTCTCTTGTTTTCTTGTTTTTTTTGCTCTCCTATTTTCTCAATTTGAAAGAGGATGGGAAGTGCATAGATTTTATGGATCCATAAACCATTCTAGGAATCTTGATGGTTGAAGAATGAATTAAATATAATGTGAGTAAATCAATAGCACGTCCATTTACTGTCTTTTCTCTTTCCAGATGCAGGCTCTGATATAACAGCCTATTGCCAAGACCGTATTCATGGGTGATTAATTCCCTTACTCTTTTGATGTGAAGGTTTACTTATTTCCCTGTGTAAATGACAGATAGGTAATCTGAGCACAAGGGATAGCTCTGCTGTTCTGTAACTTCTAGCATCCACTCTACTTGCCCTGACAAAAATTGATGCCAGTTGGAAATCAACAGTGCAGCTATTAAAGTTTGCCACATCAGACCTAGGAAACTGATTTGAGTTTCAACAGCCATGTGATTATTTTGGAGAATTCTCCCCTGGCCCTGCCCAACTGCAGACCTCATTGCAAAATGCAGCCATGCTCTGTTCCAAGAGGCCATTCCCCTGGCTATAGGAACACACCTTGACTAGGGAGAGATATTCCACTGCAGCAGAGCGGAGAGTTGAAGACCACTTCCTGACAGCAGCATCACACACCCAGCAATGGACCCCTCTGCGTCCTGAATACACCCACAGTCTGTGCTGAATGCCAAAGTCCTCTGCAAGGGCAGAAGAAAAGCAAAAAAATACGCTGTTTAGATTACCAAGGAAACAAACAAACAAACAAACAAAACTTAAAGCTATAAAATTTTACATTTACCGGTATTTTGTTCAGTACAATCTGTGGCTCAAACTATGGCAATTTGTAAACAATGACTTATTATAGAATGTGTTGCATGAACTCCATTATGGCTTACTTATAGTTAAATCCATGGCTTCAGATAGCAGATCAAAGAAAATACCAGCTTGTTTACAGCTACAGCAAAAAGGCTGCATTTCTGACTCAAAACAATGCAAATAAGAAAAACAAACAGAAGTGGTGGTAGCCGGTTTACTATTTATTTATAGTTTATTTGATTCTGTACATTTCTGTGTTTTACTCTATATTTTAATCTTCTGTTTCAATTTTTTTTTAGTTTTATTATAAAGTGCTTCAAGATTCTTTTTAATGTTGAAGCAGTAAAAAGATGACTGATAGACCACTAAATATGACTATTTAAAAGAGTATATGTATTGTTCTCTGCTGTAAAACATGTGAAGAGAATCAATGAGAGTAGACCACACAGCTCTTTATAAATCTAAAAGACAGCAGCCCGACTGATTCTGGCTGGTCTTGAAAACCTAAGCAGGGCTGGTCTTCAATCATCCTTAGATGGGAGACCACCAGGAAATCCTGGGACTAGTTCGGGAAGACAAAGTAGTCCTAGAAGATGGCAATGAAATACGGTTGCCAAGCAAAATATGTATCCTGACATGTTCACATAGTCACCAAGTGTGGTGCTCTACTCAAGAATAGGCAGAAGCTTCAGATGGGAGCTAAGAAATCCATGAACTGAGGCACAGAAGAGCTGAGCATTGCAAAGAAAACTCAGGGAATGTGTCAAACCAAAGACTACTTAGCACATATCTACTAAAACTAGAAATGGGCTGAGCTATCTTTCCTATTATCAAACAACAGATGAGGTCAATTCTTCTCAACCTAGTGCACTCCAGATGTCTTAGAACTGCTGCTCCAATAATCTCCAGCCAGCATGACTATAGTTCCCCAAAGTGCCAAATGAGGGAAACCCAGATTAGCCACTGTCCAAGAATACCATGCCAATTCATGACTCTGACAGCCTTGAGCCAAAATCTGTTCTTCCTTTCTCACGTGTTCTCCTTTCTCAGGTTTCTCCTCCAACTGTGTAGGACCAAGATTAAGGAGTGGGAGGCTAGGAATAAATTAACCCTGATATAATTTTATAATACATCAAAGAAATATAATTCACATGACTATCCCTGTAGAGTCAATAATTTTCCCACCATATTCAAAATTGCATTTGGACAGTAACATGCCTTGGAGGGATGCCTGGGAGCAACCCAGGTTATTCATTGCTGTAACACGTAAGGGAACTATAGAACGTAACATGTGTACATATCCTTTTCCTTTTACCTTTCTATGACTCAACATTCATGTCAACTTGCAACATGGAACACGTTTTAAAATTGTTACCAATTAGATATAATTTTGCCCGCCCTATTGCTTAAAGATGGGAACTTCTTAAAACAAAGACATGTTTTCTCTTTTTCTCAGGCTAGGCACTTTGTGCAATCAAGAGGTTGAAGAAATCACATAATTCTGAAATACATCTAGGCTGCTCGAAGGCAGGCATGTTCTAGCTTTGGTAGAGGAAGAAGGGCTAGACTGGACAGCTTGGCCATAGGGATTAGATAGGTTTCAGCCACTTACCCACAAGGGCTCGGTCTATAACGTGGATGGCAATTGTCATGAGGGTCCAGCATTTGGAGCAGATGTCTGCAGAGCTGAAGAAGACAAAATGATTCCTACTTGTATCATAAAAGGAACTTACATGATCATAGCCAATACAGGTAACCCTTGACTTACAACCATTCATTTAGTGACCATTCAAAGTTACAATGGCACTGAAAAAAGTGACTTATGACTGTTTTTCACACTTGCAACCGTTGCAGCATCCTCATGATCACTGGTTAAAATTCAGATGCTTGGCAAGTGGTTCATATTTATGACGGATGCAATGTTCTGGAATCATGTGATCACCTTTTGTCACCTTCTGATAAGCAAAGTCAATAGGGAAGCCAGATTCATTTAACAACCATATTACTAATTTAATAACTGTAAGGATTCACTTAACAGCTGTGGCAAAAGTCATAAAACTCACTCAACTGTCTCGTTTAGCAACGGAAATTTTCGGCTCAATTGTGGTTGTAAGTTGACCTGTACAGTCTTGAATTCTCTTCCAGCTTGCCAATATGGCTAGTGGTAAGGATGGGATTTGTAATGCCACACTGTAATTTAGTGCTACAGTGCTACACTGTTAGGTACACTTGCCAATAAGGCACTTATAGAACGAGAATTCCAAGCACTGGTTTGAGTTGCATATGTTGACTAAATCATGTTGCTTAGAAAAGAAGACAGAAAAGCAGAATGTCTTCCCACCAATGTCTTGGACAGTGTGTGGTAGAATTGTTGCCTTGAGATTTTAAAAATAAACACAGCTAAACGTAGCTGGGAATGAGAACTCTTTGTTCAGAACGGGAAGATCTAGATTCTCAAAGGCAACTGGCAATACAGGCAGTTGATTTTATTATCTTGTCCCCTGGCAATCTTCCCTGCCTGTTGACATAAAATTATAATAAATCATAAAGTTTGGAATCAGATACAACAAGCCCTTGTATGTTTGCTTGAAAATAAAGTCCATTGTGTGCAGTGGGGTTTACTTTTGAGAAGTATTTATAACACTGTGGCCCAAGGGATTCTACTATTCAGAAAACCATCCTTTTTGTAGCTCAGAGGAATAGAGACTTTGCTAGGAAGGGCCATCTGAAAGCTCTGTAGATCCAAGTACAGTACATCATGTTCCTTTGTGCATAATACTTTGCCTGCTACAAATTGGCTAATGAACATCAAATAATGATCACAGAAAGATAAGGGTACCTGCAGCATTCCCTAACATCATCATAATCTGTCAGGTCTATATCAAACACCAATTCCTTTTCCTGAGCTTGAAAAGCACCCATGTGGACGGTGTTATGCTGGATAGGCTGCAAAGAAACAAACAAAACACAACCCAGAATAAGTTCAAGTATTAGCATCATACTATAATTTATAATCTAAATTTTATTCCTTCATAACATTTCAGGCTTCTGCATTTTTTTTTTGTTAAATTATCCTTGGCCACTGATATGCTGTCAAGTCATTTTCAGCCACTCAAACAGCAAATCTCAGAGGAAAGGCTTGAGGTCTGGATAGGCAGTATTCAGGAATGACTACAGAGGTTTTTCAGAGTCATTTGCTGTAATAGGAAATAGGATAACAGTTGTTTAAGGAAACTCTTCCCTCCAACTGACATATGAGGATAAATAATAATGATAAATATTCCAAAATTATATATACCACATTTTTCGCTCTATAAGACGCACTTTCCCCCCCCAAAAGATGGGGGAAAATGTCTGTGCGTCTTATGGAGCGAATGCCGCCTCCCACCGCGCCGCTCCGCGTCCCGCGCCTCCGTGTTTCAAGCCTCTGTGGCACAGAACTGCTGGCAATATGCTTGGGCGGAAGACGTTTTCTTTTACAGATGGGGCGGGTGGGCCTGACATTCGCGTGCAGGCAGTACCCCGCCTGCTGAGCCACCGCTTCCCCATCGCCCTCCACGCCAGCCGGCTCCGTCTCCAGACCTCCCAGCTTACGGGCGCAGGTCCGGGGCTCGCCAGCTGACGGGTGCAGGAGGTAGGCGCCGCCGCGGCCTCCCAACCGCGCCACCGCAGCCTCCCAGCCGCTTGCTTCTTCGGCTGGAGCAACTGCAAGGGCTTGCATGGTCCCCAAGGGCCGCTGACGTGCTCCCCGCCGCCGGCGACCATGCAAGCCATGGTCGGGTGGGCCTGACATTCGCGCGCAGGATTCGCGCGCGCCTACCTCTTGCGCCTGCCGAGCCACCGCTTCCCCATTGCCCTGCACGCCAGCCGTCTCCGTCTCCAGACCTCCCAGCTGACGGGCGCAGGTCTGAGGCTCGCCAGCTGACAGGCGCAGGAGGTAGGCGCCGCGGCGGCCTCCCAGCCGCTTGCTTCTTCGGCTGCCTCCTGTCCTGCTCCCCCTCCCCACCCATTCGGCTGAGGAGGCGATGGGGACGGCGGCCAGGTGGCGCTGCCTCCTGTCCTGCTCCCCATGCCCGCTCGTTCGGCCGAGGAGGCAATGGGGACGGCGGCCGGGAGGCGCTGCCTCCCGTCCTGCTCTCCCTTCTAACCTGGAGGGAGAGGGAGGGAGAGAAAGAAAGAAAGAGGAAAGGAAGAGAAAGAGAGGAAAGAGAGAAAAAGAGAGGAAAGAGGGAAAGAGAGAGGAAAGAAAGAAAGAGAAAGAAAGTGGAGAGGAAAGAGAGAAAAAGAGGAAAAAAGAGAGAGGAAAGAGAAAGAGAGAAAGGGAGAGGAAAGGGGGGGAGAGGAAAGAGAGGAAGAAAGAGGGGGAGAGGAAAGAGAAAAAAGATTGAGAAAAGAGAGAGAGGAAAGAGAAGAGAGAGAGGAAAGAGAAAGAGAGGAAAGAGAAAGAGACAGAGAAAGAGAAAAAAAGAGAGGAAAGAGGGAGAGAGGAAAGAAAGAAAGAAAGGGGAGAGGAAAGAGAGAAAAAGAGGAAAGAGAAAAGGAAAGAGAAAGAGAAGAGAAAGAGAGAGGGAAAGAGAAAGTGGAAAGAGGAAAGAGAAAGAGAGAGGAGAAAGAGGAAAGAGAAAGAGGAAAGAGAGAGAAAGAGAGGAAAGAATGGAAAGAAAGAGAAGAGGAAAGAGAAAGAGAGAAACAGAGAAAGAGGAAAGAGAGGAAAGAGAAAGAGGAAAGAGAGAAAGAGGAAAGAGAAAGAGACAGAGAAAGAGAGGAAAGAGAGAGAGAAAGTTAGAGGAAAGAGAAAGAGAGAAAGAAAGAGGAAAGAGAGACAGGGACAGACAGAGACAGAAAGAAAGAGAGAGGAAAGAGAGAGAGAAAGTTAAAGGAAAGAGGAAGAAAGAGGAAAGAAACAGAAAGAAAGTTAGAGGAAAGAGAGAAAGGAAAGAGAAAAAGGAGAGGAAAGAAAGAGAGAAAAAGAGGAAAGAGAAAGAGAAAAAGAGGAAAGAGAAGAGAGAGGAAAGAGAGAAAGAGGAAAGAAAAAGAGAGAAAGGGAGAGGAAAGGGGGGAGAGGAAAGAAAAAGGAAAGAGGGAGAGAAAGGGAGAGGAAAGAGAAAGAGAGGAAAGAGAAAGAAAGGGGGAGAGGAAAGAGAAAAA